GCTGAACCCTGGGTGCTCCTCTCCAAAGTTGGACTTTAATAATTGAAGGGTGCTGACTGAGTTGGAGGGTGCCCTGGTTATTCATGTCACACTGAATTATGCATGAAGTTTGTGGAAAAGCCCCCTTGCTCCAATAGTATTTATCATCTACATCCTTATTTGTGTTTCAGATAAAAATGCTTCCAGTGGTTCTTTACTTGCAGCTTCGCAGCAGAGAAAACAAATTTTGAAGTTTTATTTTATTAACACTGACCAGTTATTTGAATAGAGGATAAAAGGGGATAAAATATTAAAATGTATATGTGTGTGTGTGTGTGTGTGTGTGTGTTAAACAAACCTTAAATTAATATAGAATCATAGGGGGTGTTTACTAAGGTTTTTTTTTAACTAAGGAGTCACAGCGGGATTTTGCGCCGGAGAAAAGGGGAAAAAAAGTTGTGCTGCAGGAATTTGCACATTTGGTCTCATGCAATATTTGTTTTATGCCGTTGCCATTCAGGGTCGCAAAGTAAGGAAGGACAGAATGGAAATACTATACATATACCCTCAGCACCTTATTTATCACTGGTACAGGAGACAGAATTGCAGCTAAAATCCAACGTCAGGAGAAAGCAGATGTAAAATTTGTGCCGTCAGTGTGGCAGGCGTTAGTCATCCGTCATCTTGTAGGTGGTAAAAACATGTTTGAGGAGGGGGGGATGTTTGTAAATCAGGAGAAGAGAATGTGAGAGACTTATACAGGCTTTCAGGTCAAATCCTGCTTCATTTACTGAATGAAATAAATGAACTGGCAGAATACTACGTGATTGGAGTTCCAAAATATGTTTTTAGATTGTTTCACCATATTAATGTGTAGCTGTTGTGATTGTGGCTAAAAACACTGTTAAATTGAAAAATTATGGTGTTGCAATATTTTGCATGTCTGACAGTAATTAGCGACAGGTTTAGTAAGTATCTGTAACTCGGACTGTAGCTGATAATGATACTAAAAAGCAAGCTTGCATTTCAACCATGATAAAATTTTGAGGCTTGAATATATCACATTCATCCTTAATTTCTCTTTCATTCTATGTACATTATGGATTCCTTAGATTTTGAAATTGAAACATGCAAACAGGTTCAGTAATCACCGCCATTCATGTACTGTAATTACAGGCCCAATTCACACGAACCTTTGTGTGTTTTGACGGATCCTATGGTTTTATGATGTTTTGTCTCCTGATCTTGTAAATTCATTGTTCATTTAATTCAAAGACCCCCATTGTATTCACAATTTAGTGAGTTTTTAGCCTCACTCCAATGTTGAAACATTTAATTTCAAATGAAGCAGCCTTTCTTTAAAATAAGCTAAGCAAGACTGAAAGCAGCAAGATGTAATACAAACAAACGCACGTAATCAGTACTTAATGGCCCACTGAGTCTACTTTCACTAATTTATTCAAATTCATCTTGAGTATGTACCATAAAATAGATTAGGGTTCAGATTTAACCCTTATGTGCTTCCATAACCTGTAAAACCTAGTAAATAAGGGCAAAACCTGTCATTAGTGTTCAGATATAACTTTGACACATGTAAATCAAGCTTATTTCAAGGTCAGTACACTTGGACATATAGCTAAGTGCTGAAGTGTCAATGAGACTAAGTGCTTAGAGGTGTTGGATGCAAAAAGGGAGCAAGATGTTTTATTTGTTTGTGACAGTGAGCAAGTCAGGAAGCAAGAAACTTTGAACAGGCATAAATCAGGGCAGTAAAAGCTAAAGAGTGACAGGCAATTGAGAGTAGATTTAGGAAAACAGCTTTTGTCTACCTCTAATCTAACACCAGATGTGTTTTGTGAGTGTGTGTGTGTTTTGTGAAGCTGACAGTACCAGTACAGTAATGGTCTGTGTTAACTGAACTGAGTATGAGTGGATGGAACCTACAGTATAGCAAGCAATGAAAACATGTTACAGTGTAGATGCTACAGCCAGTTTCGGTGAATGGCAAGACGTTAGGAGAAAGGTGAGTAACTGGGGTAAAGGTGCGGTAGGTAGGAGCAGAACTTGCAGTGGTAACACTTGATGCTTTAAACAGAAGTGTATGGTGTGTTGCTTGCTAAAATAGCACAAGTGAAGAGGCTCAGTGGCTGTTGGCTGTGATATTTGGAAGAACCTAAGCTGTTAAACCTAACTTAAAGGAACTTAACTTAACCTAACCCATGGACAAGATCCCAGGAGTGGAGCTGGGAAGTTAAGCAGTTTTCTCATATTAACCAAAATGCAATACCACAACTTCTGCTTTTATCACATAATGCCCGGGTCAGCACATCATTTAACATAAATACTTGGCTAACTCAGCTTTTGCTAAACTTAATTGTGTATTGATAAGCACTGTTTAACATTTCTGCAGGATAATAGCATCTAAGGAAAAGATGCATTGTGCTGCAAAAAGGCATGTTCAGTGGGCAGAGTTTGCTTCAAAGAAAAATAATTCATGCAGACAGTTCTGAGTTCCAGCTTTATTTCTTAATATCTTCAAAGTAGCTATAAGCAATATGAAGTCCAATGCAGGGTATTACACCAGATGTCATACTACAAAAAGTGGCTAATTTGTGCATTGCAAAGTCAGATTTAGGTGATTTATTTTCCTTTTTCCAAATACAGTTCTGGACACAAACTTCTATCTGCTGCATAAACAATTTGGCATTTTCCAAGAGATAGCACACAAACCATTTAATTTAATGCTGCTGCCTCCCCATCTGTACTCTGCATAAAGCAGCAACATTTGAATACAGGGGCGATTAACTCCTGTCCCACCTGTACTGTGCTGCTTGGCATCCCAAAAGTCTCCAAATACCATCCTTTATCGGTCTGTCCTTGCTGACAGATAACCCCATTCAACTGAACTCAGTAGAATTATCCCTAGGGATTATGGCTGTGCTTCACAGGGTTGTGCATGGCATTGGCTTTTGTTACATAGACAGCCAAACAAATGAGGCCTGTCAATTTCATTATTCAGCAAGATTCCCATAGAGCCCATTGGGCAGCGGGAATAGTGTAAATCAGGTGCAGAAAATCCTTAGCAGTATGCAGGAAATCTTGTTCTGTGACAAGTGCTTAGGGGCTGGCTATCACCACCAGACCACCATTATCACACATACTGTATCTTTTCCTATCACTTTATAGTGTACAGCAGCAGTGCAGTCCTTACATGCATAGCCTATGTTGTTAGAAGGGGGAATCACGTATACCGTGTGCTTGGAGTCATGTGGTTCAGATGCATCTGATATAAGCACATAGATTCAAGAGCTCTTCATTTTATTTAAAATGTGAACATGGAAAATTGACAGTAAGAACAGACATCTTTGTCATCTTTGATCTAGAGTTGTAGACACAAAGTTGTCTCAGTTAGTACACCTTAAAATGCTAATGGTACTTCTGTTATTGCATAAAGAGGGACCATTCAACTGCAGGTCAAAACCTTGTAAACTTGGGTGTAAACAGTAAAGACTGATAGAACATGATATTTGCCACCCCCCCGCCCATGAAGCCCTCAGCCCAGCAGCGGAATTTGTTAGGTCATTCCCTGACACCCCCAACCGGAGCGTTGTTGTTGTTATTGGGGGTGACTGTGGTTCAGTGGGTAGAGCAGTCGTCTCCTGGTCGGAGGTTCGAATCTCAGTGCCTGCAGTCTAAGTGTCGAAGTGTCCTTGGGCAAGACACTGAACCCCCAAGTTGCCCCCCTATGGTTAGAGCCATCAGTTGAGTTGGCTCCGCAGATGGCTGCCTCGATTTTGTACCGGAAACAAATTCCTTGTGTGTAACATACTTGGCCAATAAAGGTGATTATCCTTATCCTTATGTTACCTACCCTATGGCCTGTCAGAGTTATTTTTGGTAAATAAAAAAATTAACACTGAATATACATATACTGAGCTCAGGTATAGTAGCTACCACATTAATTTTATCTATCTAGCTATCTATTTTTCTTTTTGTTCCAGGGCTCTAAAACATTTTGCAAATAAGGTAATGAGGAATGTAACAGTGCTTTTATCTTAGCAAACTGAGGTTACTGTAATTCTCAGTTGAGATCATGCCCTGTTCTCAAATTGTGCAAAAGGTGTTTGCTTCTAATACACTCACAAATAATGGGACCGTTCTGCTACTTTTTATTTTGCTGTCAGGTTCACTTTTAGCATCTTCAACTGCAGCAAAAAAATACAATTATTTATTGAGAACAGCAATCAAACATAGAATTTGATGGATATTGTACTACTCTTATATTGGCACT